TTTAGAATAAAAAATGCACAAAACAGTAATAGTATGATGTGAGGAATGTTGTTGATCATTTTTTTTTAATATGTGTCAGTAGGGTTGGAGGGAAGTAGTTTAATTTACTAATAAGTTGAATTTAAAAAGCTAATAAAATAAATAATTTCATTTTCTTACCCCAAAGTTTCTACATAGTAAACTGAATCAAAATAAAAATACTGAGTAGATTTCTCACACACTGTGTTACTCACAGAAAAACAAAGAAAAAACAAAGTTCTTTTCCTTTGATTTCTTTTATAGCTGAAATAAATACACATTTCTTTCTAAGGTTCTTGAATATTGAGCACTTTTGAATGATCATCTGAATGAGGAAAATGTCCTTTTCTGCATATAGTTCTCTTACATTTGATGAGATATTCTAAACACATAATTATCCTCATTTATGTGACAGGAGGAAATACGACATGTCCTTTTAAATTGGGACTCATTTACACTTTTTCAAAGTTTATAGGCATTTAAAAGAATTACACTAAGATTTCAGGTTGCAGGAAAAAATAAAATATCTTAAGGCAGTAACAATGAAGAAACAAGTAAACAACAATAAAAAAAATGAAATACAAATTAAACAAAAGTAAATTCCTCCAAAAACTTTGAAATCAAAGCAGTCATGTCAGAAAATGATCATTTTTCTTTTTTTAAGATTACATAACAACCATAATTTTATTTCAAACTGATTATCAGTCATTCAAAAATAATAAATAGAAACATTTGATGTATTTCTCTATTTTTTATGTCCCCTCTCTTGTAGGATGGACATAGTAAGCTTTAAAAATAGAGGTCACTGATAAACATTAAATTTTAAGTGAAGAATATATTCTGAGGATAAAGTCAAAAGAACTAAAAGAAGAAAAAGTTATATGCCCAGAATGGTGCCTATTGATAAAGGTAAAAAAGTGTGATGTTACCTTTATATCTGAAAAGAATTATTATTAACTCTATCTACTGGATTGAATATAGTTATGAAAACTTTGAGGCAGTATGGGAAATATTTAAGGTACGAAACTAAATGAAAAATTAGGGTAGAGGAAAGTAAGATAAAATGTAAAACCATAGTACTATTGATAATATTTATACAATATTGACAAATATTGGAAAGGAATCATGTAAAACAAAAATTTACATGACAATAGTATTGTTGATTTTTTTCATCTTCTATTTCCAATTTTTTTCAAAAGTTGTTTTATTCTCTTAAAAATATTTTTCCTCTTTACATGTATGTTCGCATTGGAGGAAAATGGATCAGACTCTCATCTTTAAAATGCAATGTTTTCAGTGTTTATGAATTCAGAAGGTAATTGAATTCTGTAACTAGACCCAACACTTTTCCAGAAAAAAAAAAAAACACAAAAAAATCAAGAAGGAGGAAAATGAGGAAGAGAATGAATTAATATTGTTATTATTAAAGAATCATTTATCCTGCAGCTATATTTTTAATTCTTTCACGAACCAAATTAACTACACATTGTGGACGAATCTTTCTCAAACAAGTTGTGTGGGGGGGCAAAAAAGGAAAACAAACACAATGTTTGGTTGTTGCCTCCAAAAATCAATCACAAAGAAAAGAAAATAATAAATCATGGCACCCCCAAATCTGCTCATTCCTATTCCAAACCTAGGAATCTGAATCTAGACAAGAAAGAACCCTTCTTTCGGGTTAATTTTATTGCTGAGCTCAGAAGGGAAAGAAGCATCAATTAGTATTATTCAGTACCCCTTACCCCTGTCTAAAATAGCCAGGTCACTGAGGCAAAACTGATTTGGGGGTTCAAAAGGTCTGTATCTCACCCCAGCTGTCTTCTCTCCCTTGTGTTCTTGTTGCCTCTGATTATACACACAGAAGGCATTTTTTGGGGCATGGTGGTGGTGGATTAGAACTCAATGAAACAACTTATTAAAAAAAACACCAAACTGTTCCAATTAAACAATTGTTGAATAATTAGTTTCTAATTTAATAATTTAATAAGATTTAAAATAGTAAACTTTTCAATAAATTTGTTTTCTTTACAGTCATTTAAAATACATTAAAACATTTATACTTGTATTTTTTTTAGTGGAAAAAAATCAAAACCAAAAAAGGAACAAAATTCAGTGATTTTTAAAAAAAAATATTGTTTCCCTTTAAATCTACGATGGCAAAAGGTGGGCTGCATTTGACAGGAGTTTAGAGATGAGGATGGAGATTTTTGTGGGGTGTAACCTGTTTTTTTGTTTGGGGACTAAGGAGATAGAGTAATGGATGAGTCCCCCAGGAGAAAATCTGAGAGGTGTTTGCACTAATACTTAACGATTTAAATTAAATGAAGCAAACAGTACTGGGATGCCTTGCCTAGCGCTCTCCCTAGGTCCCCCATACAACAGAAAAGATTTTAGGAGATCTGGGCACCTATTTAGGGAAAGGCCAAAGAACACAACATCATTTCTCAGACCATCTTTGGCCTTTTCAAACCTTCACTCACACCACCAAGAAAAGTCCCCAGGGCAACATTCTAGCCAAGAGACTTCATATTTCTAGAATGAAAATTTCCTCTGCATTCTATTTGTTTGGCAGTTTACATAAACTTTTCACTTTTAAATATTTATCGAGCACCTATTATGTAGTAGGTAGTGTCCCAGCTTGTTGGTTTATTTTCAAATGATGTTTGTGATCAGCGAAAGTGGCATATGTGTGTGTGTGGCAAGGGGGACAACGAAGACGACGACACAGATGTCTCCCACCTCCTAGGACAGAAAACATTCTTTTTCTACACAGCAACAAATAACTGATAGTATTGTTAATTTCTTTTGCCCCATGGAACGAAAAACATTACAAAAACGAAAATCCGACAAACACGTGGCTGGCTAGAACAAAACGTTGATTTGGAGAGTGGTTCTTGAAGGTGGAGGAGATAGCTAAACTGAGTTGGAAGCCCCCTTTACATTCCCAAGCGGGTCTCTGCCCCATTCTTTTCAGCGCGCCGGCTAAACGGGAGTGGGGGGGGGAAGAGGGGAAGGTGGAACACAGGGTAAGGAATAGACACAGGATAGTTTGGGTGCTTGGGGGGGGGGGGCGGACACAAAGGTGCTGCACTCAGTCTTTTAACTCCCGACTTTTTGAACCGTTTAAAAATCATCCGGCAGAAGAGCTGGGAGCCGAAGTCTGAGTCCCACTCGCTGCAAACGAAAAATTCTAACAATAAAGAAAATTCAAGGCATTCCTATCAGTGTAGGCAACACGTGTTGAGGAGCTTAGGCTGTAGGCGACAGAGACAATGGGGTCGGAACTGGGGAAGGGGAAAGTGACCCCCTTCCTCACCTGCCCTCACAGCACGTGTGTCCCCGTCAGAATTATTACTCTCTCTTGCAGAAGCCAAGCAAGGCACGAGTTTCCGCCCAGTTCAGGGTGACTGGATTTCCTGGTGGTCTGCCCCCTCTCCCCTCTAGTTCCCTGAACGAAGGGCCTCTAGGGTCCCGAGCTTCGCTCTCCGCCACCCCCTGGCGCCATCCCAGCCCCCGCCTCTGAGAACTCGTTGGCCTCGCCCCGGCCAGGGATCCTAGCCTGCGCGTGGCCCGCACATCCCACTCTCCGTGGCGACTCCGGGACTCCTATTAGGCGGCGAATGCCCCCTCCCCCACAGCCGAGACTGGGTGCGATCGCCCACGTGTCGCCCCTTGCCCAGTTTAGTCGGTTCCTCGGGCTCCCACGGCCATAGGATCCGGAATGAGTTGGTCAAAGCCCAGGGAAGGGACTTGGGCGGATCCGCTTTCCCCTCCTCAGAAGCGGCGGGGGAGGGGCCGCGCCCCTTCCTCGCAGCCCCCGCCCCTACTTCCCCTGGCGCCGAGCGGAAATCGCCCCCTCCCCCCGCGGGCCTGACCTGGGGACGTGGGCGGGGCTTCATTCAGGCCCCCCCCCCCCCCCCCCCCCCCGACTCCTCTCCCGCCTTCCCGTGGGGATCAGAATCCTGCTCCCCAAACAAAGTTCTGCGCCCCGAGCCCCGCGCCTGGAGCGCTTCTGTCCCGATCCCCGAGGGAGCAGGCGGAGGGTACTACACCTGTCTGCCCTCGCTCCAGGGAGGGAAAGGGGACCTTTCCGATCTTCACCAGGCCCCTCCTTCCCTGAGACCACCCCCTTCGGTGGGCCGGGGTTTGCCTAAGATACCACCCCTCCATCTTCGATTCCACCCTCCCTTTTGAGGGGTCATTTTGGGCCGGAACCACGCGCTCCCCTAGAAGATCCGAAACGTTTCCATTCCACAGCCGAATTCCCGTGCGAGCTGTCCTTCCTCCCGTGGGAGTCCCGAAACATCTTTTTCTGCGGATCCTTTGATCCCAACGGAGACTCTTGGTGTTACCCCTTCGCGACCCCGTGCTCGCAGGACTTTCTAGTCTCCGATACCCCGAGGCAGGAGAGTCGTGAACTGAGGTGGGGAGAAGACGGAGACGCACACTTAAAAGCTACGGAAAAGGCGCCTTTTAAAATCGCCGGCTCTGGCGATCCCCTCCTGAAGACCCCAGAGTCCTCGGCTTCTCTTTGTCTCTCTCGAACGTCCCCCACCCGTCAGTCGCTAGCAGTCAACTGGAGTGGGGGTTCATAACGACTCCCCCCACGAATAAAACACAATCCTACATTTTACCCATCAGGGTAGAGATTTGGGGCCGGACCACCTCCCCCAGCTCGGGGAGGGGGAGGGGGAGGGCGGGGCACCTCAGGGGCCAGGTCCTTGTAAAGGGGGAGGGGGCAAATAGAGCTGCGGGGACACCACCCCCATCGCCCCAGATTGCATCGGGGGTTAGCTAAGGGCCCCCCCAGATAGGAATTGGGGAGCTTGACTTGGCTGGAGGGCCTTGGAGCCCTGTGGCGTCGGGGGTCTACCCTGCAGGGTGGGTGGGGGCTTTCACCACGTGGCTTCGTCTTTTTTTTTTTTTTCCGCTCCATTTTTTAAAGTCGATTTTATTTAGAGGCGGCGCCAGGGCGGCAACGGAGAAACGTGACACACCAGCCCGCTCGGAGGGGTTTCGGACCGAAGGGAAGGAGCCGCCGCCGCCGCCGCGTCCTCCCTCCGCCTCCCTGCGCGCCGCGGGCACTTCTGCTGGGCCCTCCCGGAACTCCCCGCCGCCGCAGGCCACCCTCCAGCCCCGGGCTCCGGACAACTCCTGGGGTGGGTGGAAAGAAAGTTTGCGCTCCGGCTGCCGCCTCCCCTCTTCTGGGCCTAGGAGGCTAGCCGCCTGCACCCGCGCCCGCTCGGTTCGGCCTCGCCGGGGACCACATCTTGCCTGGAGACCGCCACCATGAACAAGCTTTACATCGGCAACCTCAACGAGAGCGTGACTCCCGCGGACTTGGAGAAAGTGTTTGCGGAGCACAAGATTTCCTACAGCGGTCAGTTCTTGGTCAAATCCGGCTACGCCTTCGTGGACTGCCCCGATGAGCACTGGGCCATGAAGGCCATCGAAACTTTCTCTGGTAAGAGCGCGCCCACAGCCCAGAAAAAAACACCGACGACACCCCCAGCGAGGAGATTTGCTCTTTCTCTTTCCTTGCCCCTGCCAACTCCTCTGTCCCCGGGTCCTACGGAGCTGAGCCTGGATACGGACCCCCTACCCACCTTCGACGCCTTCACTCCCCCTCCCCCGCAAGACCTTTTGGGATTTCCCGGCCTCAACCTTCCTGCCTGAGATAAGAATCAAGGGGCGCCAGCATCGGGATTCCCTCCCCACCGACGGGGCGGGAGCCCCCTTTGGCAGTAGTGGGGGGCTGGTTGAAAGACGCTGAAGACCCCCATCTAGGCGTTATTTCCACGCCCAGCTCTTTCTACCGCCGCAGGACGACCCCCCACTTTGCACACCCCCACTCTCCAACGTCCCAGGCCTTTCCAGGCGGGAAGGGAGCCCTCCAGCTTCTCAGGTCTTCGGTTTTCGTGGGAACAGCAGTCTTCAGGCAGGGCCTGGGAGGAAGGGGGTCCCGCTTCCCGCCCAGGGCCTGGGGCTTGAGCCATTTTGATTTGAAAGTGGGGCGTGAGCAGGGTGGCGCGGCGGCGGCGGCGATGGGTCGCCATGCTGCTTCCCGAGACGCCGAGACTGGGCCGAAAGGCGCGCGCCACCGCCGCCAGGGACCCTTCCCGCGGGGCCCCGCGCCGTTCCCCGGGTCGTGCCCTCTCCGACGTGCTCGGACAGGTGACCGCCCCGCCGCCCAAAGCCTTGCTCTTTGGCTCAGCAGAAAAAGTTTCATTCTGCATCCTGTATGCACACACTTGCGGGGAATGAGGAGACCATTCTGTCCCCCCATTCGCCCGACATCGAGGGGCTCTTAGAGGTGACGCATGCACACAAACACCCACGCAGGTTTCCAAATCAGACTCCTAGAGCAACCCGCAACTCAGGGAGAAAACAACACAAAACACAAAATAAGAAATAATAAAGAATTTCTAGCTTCCACATTCCTAGAGCGACTCTTCCCATCTGGTTGCGGATCCCACCGCCCGGATTCCTAGGGAGATCTCGAATCCCAATAACTTCTGAATAACCCTAATGCCTTCCTCTTCCTTCCCCCTATTTCTGCTCGAGCCTTCGTATTAATTTTTTTTTTGTTCCTAAAGGAAAAGTAGAACTGCAAGGAAAACGCCTAGAGATTGAGCACTCGGTCCCCAAAAAACAAAGGTAGGGAAGAGCTCTTCTCTGGGGACTTGGCGGTTGAGAAGTGGTGTTTGGGGGTCCCTAGCGACTGCACTGGAAGAAACCCATTACTGGCCTTCCCACCCCCGACTCCGGATGTTGGGGGCAGGGAGGGAAGATTGGCCAAGATCTTGTTGAAAGGGTGGTTTACAGCTTGTTGAAAAAAAAAAAAAAAAGTTAGGACTGAGATGGTCTGAATACTGTTACTTGGAGAATCAAAGGGACTCCCCCCCAAAAAAAGAATCAAAAGAGAAAAAAGCCTATGGAGTTTGCTCAAGGTGTGGGTCTACTTTTTTTACGGGGGGGGGGGAATTTAACATTCTTTGAAGAGTTCAGAGTCAAGGAAATTTCTGCAATTTCCTAACAGGTCCCATTTCTCCCCCCTTTTCCCTCCTTCCGCCTTTCCTCACCATAATTCTTAGTGGGTTTTAGGAGGTTCCCCTTATAATCAATCCCTGGGGGAAATGAAATGAGCTTCCTTTCTTCCTACCCCTAAAGAATCGTCTTATGCTCGTGCTTTATAATTTTGCAACAGGCAAAGCCATTTTTCTCTCACCAACGCCCCCAGTCATTTTCCCCCACCCCACCACTAGATTTTCCAAAGAATATGCTTTGGCTGTACTATGCTTTTCGAACTCCCCACTCCCCAACCCCAACTCCTTCAGTCCATTGTTACAAGGGGACCATCTGGGGTGAGAGCTTTGTGTTCAGGCTGTGAGCTGGAGCTCTCTGGAGGGCCTAGAACTCCCAGGATGAATGTGTGTGTGTGTGTGTGTGTGTTAGTGTAAGTTGCAATACCCACTGTCTCATCAGCAAAGTGGGATACCTTCATCCTGTTTCACCCAAATCCAATTCATGTTGGATTCCAAATCTTCCCCTGAACTGGGAACTGTTCAAGTCAGCGTGTGTACTTTCTCAAATCAGACTTCAGACATGATGACAGAGCAGACTTTTCTCAATTGTTATTTTGAAGTGGCCCCCAGTAAATCTTTGCTCCTTCCCTCTCTCCCTCCCTCACCTTTCTCCTGGACTTTTCTGTGTGGAAAGGTGGGGATGAGTGGCTGGGATTTTTAAAGGAGGCCTTAAGAGGAACTTGAAAGTTTAACTTGAGTCTAAAATCGGTTAGTGGTTTGGCTTGATACATTTAACTGGGAGCTATTGTATCAATAGATGATCAATATGACCTGTTACTTTGTTTATAGAGCTTGTGATTTCGCCTCAAGTGACTGAAATACTCCCTTATTGGAAAGGCAATTAGAATTAGGAGTAAAGAGGCAATAAAATTAGAAGGAAGAAAAGAAGTCTTATTTGTTATTTTGAAACATTTCCTGGAGAGGGGAATAAGAGAAATACATACACACACTGGCATAAATAGATTAATTGAGATGATTGTGAGTATTTGAAACTGAATGTTTGAAACATGTTGATGAGAAATGTTCAGAGTAACTGGAATTCTAGTGTAAGTGGACATACTTTCCTTTGCTCTTGAGGATGGTTTAAATTTTAAAGGGAATGAAATGAAAAATAAGAGATCCCAAAATATAATGAAATGGAACTCAAAACATTTATATTTTAATTTTCATGGTGCGGTATATTTATGGGTCTTGTTCCCTAAAGCCATCTGCTTGCTTTCTAGCCACTTCTAGGCTGCTTCTTGTTCCCTCCAAAATGCATTACGGAGGGCTCTTTTTGAGTTGGAACGGGAATGGGGGGTTTTGAGAAGACTGGGTAAAAAAATCTCCCTCTCCACACCCATATTAAATTAGATCTTTTGTGTGTTCCTCCCCTTCCTGGAATCGTTTCTGAGCCTAAACATTGAGTTTGCTATGTTGCCTTTTATTTTCTTTTTTTGGGTGGTGGTGAGAAGGCACTTCATTTTTCTAGAATGAATCAAATTTTAAGTCATGGGATTTAAAAAGAGAAAGAGTTTGTTGTCATTAAGTCAGTTTGCTCTAGTCATTTGTGTTCTTTGAGGAAGCATGTGGTGTGATGGGTTTGCAGTCTGTCTGAAAAGTATTTCTTCAGTTGGTTTGTTGTTGGCCTTTTCTGTCTCATGGATGTACAGAACAGGAACTCGTTTCACTGATTATATTTCAAGCAAAATGAATTATTATAAGAGAAGTACTGCAAGTACTTTGTGTTTTTTCTTAAAAGGAAGAAACTCACTCTTTAAAGGAGAAGAGAACCCTTGCTGACTTGAACTCAGTTCCAAAAGAAGTATGATTCAAAAAAGTCCTAAGCGCTTCATAAATACCCCAACAATCTAAAAGTTCCTGCTTTATTTTTTAAAGAGGAAAAATAACAAAATGTGTTATATAGCAGTTGCCTCTCTGTGCAACACTAGTTTTGAAGTGTTACTATATTTCATTCTAACTTTGTATCTATTTGATTGGTATAATTTGTACTTTTTTTAGAATCCAAGAGACTGAACACTATACATTGAACCCAAACACAGTAATTAATTTGAATTTTTTTAAATGAGTGAAATTAAATTTCTCTGACATCCTTTCCCTAAACCCTCTCTTAGTGCTGGAATTTTGGTTTATGATGTGGGCTTTTTACTGAGACATTGTATACACTTAAACTGCCAGATATTGGGTCAAAGGAGAAAAACCAAAGCATTTTAAAACCAGTTGTGGAAAGACTTCATGTGTGTTTTTTATTTTGAGCCTTTTATGAGTAAGTAGTTAAAGGAAAGGTGTTGTAGCATCTCAATGAGACTTGTCTACTTTGGGAAATGGCTTGCTTTTTAAGGGAATTAAACTTTGTTTAATTGCATTAGTCATTGTATGCCTTTTTAGGAGAGTATGTCCTAAAGATAGGATACTTACTGGCAACTGATTTTATCAAAATAAAAGGTGTTAATTAAGGGGGGGGGAAGAGTGATCTCTCTAGGTGAAATATATTTAAGAGTTCTAAATGTGATGATTTGTTTAAGCAGGTTAATGATTCGTTGTTCTTTACTCTAAAACCAAAAGCCAAACCCACTGTCATGGAGAGTTGGATTAATGAGATGAGCTAATGTCCCTCCCCCAATTTTCAACTACATATATATATTTAAAACACCCTAAAATTAACCTCTTAACCTTATACATATTGTGTGAACTCTGAAAAGAGAAATAGCTCAAAGCTGATCCTGATTTTATAGGTTAATCTTTTGCTGAAGTTAGCAACTTTAAAGGGATCTCTTGTTTAAGCAAAAACAGTTTTTTCTATTATTTTAAAAAGTGATTTGCGGAGGTGTAGAGGAAATAGTTAACAAAATATTTTCAAAACAAGCTAAAAAATTGCCTTCAAAATAGATTTGCCTTTAATGGAAAAAAAAAGTATAGTTAGGGATTGAAAGTGAATGGAGGGGAACTTAAAAACAGTGAAAATGACTAGAGTGGGGGACATTTTCACTTTTACTTTAGTGAGTGGGTGAATCTTAAAATTTCCTGCACTATTTGGAAGGAAGGTAAAAGTCCATTTTCTATCTACATGTTTAATTTCCACCTAGACTTGAATTTACACTTAATATTTTCATACTTCGCTGTTAAAGAAATCCTTAACAGATAACCATTTGTTGGTCAGTATTTTAAGGTAAGGGTTAGAGGGGCATCTTGGAAGAGCTATAGAATTCCTGATCCCTTGTTTTCTGACTCAGTTGTTGTTGTTAAGTGCCATCAAATTGGTTCTGACCCAGAGCGACCCTGTTTAGGGTTTCTGAGGAGCAACTGGTGGGTTTGAACCACTGACCTTGTGCTTCAAACGGACCTTGCGGTCCATCGCATTAGCCTTAAGGCTCACAGTAGAGACATGAAATTTTTTGCTAATAGTTTCCCAGATGGAGAACTTTTCAGTAAAGAAAAGGAAAAATTGTATTCAAAGTATAGCTAAGTGTTCCAAACACACACAAAGTTTTAATGGCTTAGCTTTTGGTGGAAAAAAAAGTGCAAAACATTCTTTCTTATAATTATGTTTTTAGAGATAAAATACATGACATTAGCATTGGAAGAATCTTGATTTAAAGGATCTGACCTTCTAATCCTTTAAATTACCTTAATATATATCATTTGAATCTATCTTATATGTGGGAGTAATTTTAAGTTTTTTTTTTTAAAGGAGTTTATTTATCCTATAATTTAATGTGTAACGGTTGACAAAGTTACCGTTGAGATAGGCTAGCCCCCCCCTCCCCGTTAAAAAAAAAAGCATTTCATATCTGGTTTAGTTGAATGAAAACAGGGAGACCAGCAATTGCTATTTGTTGCAGTTCAGAGACTTTGTGTTGAAAATACATTTATTGATTATACCTCTGTTAGTTTTTTGGGGGGAGGAGGGAGTTAGAGCAGTTAGTGGTGTCATTGGAATAAATGTATGAACCCATAGAAAAGACATTTGAAGAAAAAACATTTTCCCAGCTGTTAGAATTTAAATTCAATCTTGTTCGCTCCCCATTATCTTAAAAGATTAAAAAAAATATGGCTAATATCTTCCAGAAAGTGCTGCTTAGATTTTGGAATGGGAGTGTTAGGGAGAGAGAAAAGGGAAGGAAAAAAGCAGCAGGGGAGACTTGAGAAATCAGACGAGTTAGTCCAGGGTTGGAAATTCCAGACAGGGGAAAAAAAAGAGAGAGAGAGAGATGGGGGTTGGGGTTGATTTCCCGCTTCCCTTTTAAAGTGGAGAGGCTGGAGATTCTCAGCTACCCAAGGGAGGAGGGGAGGTAGGGGGCTGGGAGTCGGAGACACCAGGTTTAGCGGAGGGGTGATATACAGAGAAGGGCAAGGCTATTTTTATTTTTCTTCCTGACTTGCCTGCCTTCTCTTCCCTTTTTCAAAAAAAAAAAAAAAGTTGCAGCAGAGCTGGAGGCGTTTCCTGGAGAGCTCGCGGCCGCCGGCCGGGCTGCCCTAACCCTTGCCCGCCCGGCCGCTCCGCTCCGCTCGGCCCCAACCCCCAGGTCCTGCCTCATCACTTGCAGTCGTAGGCTCTGCGGTGGGTCGGCC